AATATATTAGCGTAGTCCAATTCAATTATTTTCATATGTAACTTTTTATAGAATCTTTTTTGTTTATCATTCGGAGCATAGATTGCAACCAAAAGTATCTTTGTATTGTTATCCACTATTTCAACCATTAGTACTCTTCCATCTTCATCAGTATAAATCAATTTTGCTGAAATGGTTTCTTTAATATACAATACCACTCCTCTTTTCTTACACTGGGCCAAAGAAGTAAAAATTTTCCCTATTTTTGGTCGCACCAATAATTGTTGATGTTGTTTTTTAATGTGTACTTCTTGTAAGCAAATTATATCAAATTTTAATTTCTCTATTTTATGAAAAGTTTTCCTTCTTTTAGTAGCTGAATTCAGTCCATTTATATTCAAAGAAATCAATTTTTTTTCCTCCATAGTTATGATTTATATTTAGGTCTAACGGCTCTCGTTGATCTTACTTCACGTTGTTCTTTAGTCTCCACTTGTCCACCTACTGCACCTTCTTCTTTTCCCATCTCTATTTGGTCCTCTTGAAATTCAGTTAAGGTAGTCTCTTCTTCTATCTCTGTTTCTCTTCTTTTAAAAAATTCCTTATAAAACGATTCTGCTTCATCAATTGAGCCAATTCTGTATCTCTGTTCTTTCCATGTAACCATTAATCCTTCTGGAATCAACCATCTGTAATTCACCTCCTTTTCCAATAATACTTTAGTCAGGAAACGATATTCTCTCCTCATCTCTCTAATTTTTCTGGGTACTTGTTTTAAAACCCCAATCTCTTTATCTCCATATTTCAATGTCTTCTCTCTTGCCGCTTGTAATATCTGTGTTCTGATAGATTTTTTAGTAAATCTAACATGAACTTCTCTTGGTAACTTATTCCTCGATGCATATCTTGTAAAAACTCGGTATATCTCATCTATTCCATCCATCATTTTTTCCTCTGTTATTTCCAAAGCTCCAGCCAAGATTTCTATCATTACTGCAGCAAGATCTTGTCCTTTTTCTTCCTCTATATTTTGAAATCTGAGGTAATATTCTGATCTATCCATCTCCCACTTCACCATCTCATTCTTGTTTTGTTCAAGCGTTGTCACTCTGTCATCAATATTTCCAATTTTCTCATCTCTTTGATTGTCTTTCTCTTCTAATTTTTGCAATTTCTCATCTCTTTGATTGTCTTTCTCTTCCATTTTTTGCAGTCTCTCATCATACTTCGCCATCATCTGTTGGATATTTTCAATTTTTTGTTCAATACTCCCCATCCTTTGTTCAATACTCATTTTAAGTTCTTGAATTCCTTGCATAACCGTCGTTAGATCTGTTTGTCCTTTATCTTGCTTCGCCATTGTTGAAAGTCGTCCTCCAATTGATGGGGAGGCAGGAGCAGAAGTTGATGCGCCAGAAGGTAGAACTTTCTTACTCATTTAAATAACTCGGAATCTTCCCACTCTTTTAATCCAGTTGGCAGTGTAACAATTATAATCCAATTAGGGAAAGGAAAAACGTAAAAAAGAAAAATCAGTAAAAAAAAACCAAAAAGCCCAAAAATTAAAAAGGGAAAAAAGTTTCAAGGAAAAAAGAAAAATTTCTTTCTTCAGGTTCTTCTAGACCTTAATCCTCAGTTGCAATAGTCAAAAGGAGAATAAAACCCAATAATATTAAAAAAATAACAATAATAATAAAAGGAAAAGAAAAGAAAAATTCTTCAGGTTCTTCACACCTTAATCCAATTGCGAAATCTCAAGAAAAAAAAAAACATGGCCACAAAAAAAGAGTATATACATACAAAGGTAAAAAAAAGCAAAAGTCCCCCCCAAAAAAGAAAAAAAAAAGGAAAAAAGAAACAATATTCTGAGGCTTTCCCTTTAGAGAAAAAAAAAATGAAAAATAATAATAATAGTAATAAGCAAAAGTGTACAAATATTACAAAAAACTATAGGGTTAAGGAGGAGGGATAAAAGCTAACAACAAGTAAAGCAAAAATCACACTGCATTTTATTTAAACATCCAAGGCTCTTGTTATGGCTTCTCCACAAGTTTCAAAGCCAAGCTTCAAACATTCAGTTGATTGTAGAAATCCCAAAGAGACACCTGTGAAAACATTCTCCAGAGTTCCTCTCTCTATCTTATCAACTCAGTGTCCTTGGGAGAGAGTTTCTCACAGTTCTCTCAACTTCAAGTAAAGTATTTTCAAGCCTCTAGTTGGCAGTGTTGCAGAGTTACAAAGTTTCTCAACTCCACTCCCCCTTCTTCCTCCCCCCAAAAAAAATCAATAGAAAAAGAAAATATGTATATATATATATGTGTATATTTAAAAAAAGAAAAAATTACTAAAGGAAGCCTCTATTAAAAATATAAACAGTCAAAAAGGAAAGGTAATTATAGAAAAAAACAAAACAAAACCAGTCTGGTTACAATTACTAATCACAATAGAAGTTCGCTAGAAAAAAAAAGTAAAAAGCCAAGCCTCATTTTGACATCTTCTAAAAAATCGCCACTAAGTCCATCTTATCAAATTCTGTCAAAAATCTTACAGATTCCTTCTTCTTCTAGGGTGTCCTTATCCCAAATAAAAATAAATAAATCTCACCAGCCGATACACTTTCTCTTTCTTTCTTCTCTTCCTTTCGGAGCTGTCCCTGCTTCAGCAGCTTAATGGCTGCCTCTCCGCCGATGGTAAAGGGGCTTCTTCTGGATCCACCAGGGACTTGCGGTGTCCCTGTGATCAACAGAACGCGCCCCTTACTATCACCGTCTCTACGGGACGGTTTAGGTCCGTTGGGACCGACCAGGGGCGAAGATATCAGCTGTAACTTCGGAGCCCCGAAATTACAGCTGTAACGCGGCGACGTGGCTCCGCCTTCTCCGCTTTCTTTCTTTCTTTCTATCATCTATCTCTATTTAATATTCTATCATCTATATCCACAGTATCATCTCTATTATCTATCTATCTATCTATCTATCTATCTATCTATCTATCTATCTATCTATCTATCTATCTATCTAATCTACCTTTCATCTATCTATCTCTAACATCCTATCATCTATATCTACAGTATCATCTCTCCTTATCTATATCTATCATCTCTATTATCTGTCTGTCTGCCTCTTTAACATCCTATCTATATCTACAGTATCATCTCTCTGTTTATCTCTCTCTCTCTCTATTTTCTATCTTTCTTTTTTCTATCTATTTTTTTTTTTTTTTTTTTTCTTCTGTCTATTTAACATCCTATCATTTTATCTAGTCACCTCATCTATCTATATTTATCATCTCTATTATCTACCTACCTATCCTATCTATCTATCTATCTATCTGTCTGTCTGTCTGTCTATCTATCTATCTATCTATCTATCTATCTATCTATCTATCTATCTATCTATCTATCTATCTATCTATCTATCTATCTAAACATCCCATCATCTATATCTACAGTATCATCTCTCTTTATCTATCATTTCTATTATCTGTCTGTCTGTCTCTAACATCCTATCATTATATCTACAGTATCATGTCTTTATCTATATCTATTTATCATCTCTATTATCTATCTGTCTGTCTATCTAACTTCTATTCATTTTTTAACCAGTCTTTATTATTTTTATAACTAACTCAAGGCAGCAAACATATCCAACAATTCTTCCTCCTTTATTTTCCCCACAACCACCCTGTGATGTGGATTGGGCTGAGAGAGAGGGACTGGCTCAAAGTCACCCAGCCATCTTTCATGGCTGTCAGGACTAGAACTCACGGTCTCCTGGTGATTGGCCCAAAATCACCCCACTGGCTTTCCTGCCAAAAGTGTTGTTTCCGAGGTCATGTAATGGGGGATGTGTGTCTCACAATTTATGGAGATTCTCAAGTCACCCAGGTCATGGTTTGTAGAGTTGTAATTGCAGGAATGTTCCAATCTCGGATGGCAAACCTCAGATAAAGAATGTTTCCAAGCAAATACAACTCAGGTAAACAAAGTCACTAATCTAAAGGAGGATTAGAGAGGAAGTAAACATGTGTTAGACTTTAACTAGAGATAATTGATTGTATTAATTACTGTGCTAAACAGTAACGAAAGTTAAGCAGTAACCAAAGTTAACCAATGATGGAGGATAACTAAAAATGTGTACAAATGCAAGACTAGACTCCAATAAAGATCATCATGATTCAGTTGTTCATGATCAAACAACTCGACTGCCTCGTCATTGCAACAATGGTTGTCCCAAAGGTGCTTTTTAGAGAGGCAACTGGACTTTCTTTGTTTTTCCTTGAAGACGTTTCGCTTCTCATCCAAGAAGCTTCTTCAGTTCCGACTCAACCGAAGACCTGAAGGAAACACACACACACACACCCCGGATGAGAAGCAAAAGATCTTCAAGGAAAAACAACGAAAGTCCAGTTGCCTCTTGAAAAAGCACCTTTGGGACAGGTGCTCCAGGTTTTGAAATCCCACCCTTTGGAGATAGATGGGGCCTGGTTTCCCATTGCCTTCTTCCAAGGTGCATTTTTTCACTTCTTAAGTCTTGCTACACCTCTGTGAAATCTACATGTTTCCCCCATCCAAATATTAACAGATGAACAGATTTGGAAGGGACCTTGTAGGTCATCTAGTCCAACCCCCCGCCCAAGCAGGAGACCCTACATCTCTCCTCCTGACATATGGCAGTCCAGTTTCCTCTTGAAAGCCTCCAATGATGAAGCTCCCACAACTTCCGAAGGCAACTTCTGTTCCATGGGTTGATGGCTCTCGCTGTCAGAAAGTTTCTCCTTATTTCCAGGTTGAATCTCTCCTTGGTCAGTTTCCATCCCTGTTATCCAGCGTCTGATCCCACTTAGCTTCCAGGCCAGATAAAGTTATCCTGATGATTCCCAAAGTTTACCCAGCCAAATCCAATTCCGATTGCTATGCTTGTAAGCATTTAAATAGACCATCTTAAGAGCAGGGCTACCTCTGAATATAAGAGCAGAAATTAGAACTGGGATGAGAATTTGTTGTTTCTTTCATTTCCCAGGTTTGCCCAGCTGGCTGTGGTGGCGTATCTGAAAAACAAGATGGGAAATGACTCCGATCTGGAAATCGACATAAAAGACCCAACCTTTTTTGAACATCATGGTGTGGAAGGGAGCACAGATAGCAAGGGAGATCTGAAGGAAAACAAGCAAGAGAAAATCGATGCTCGGGGTAAGTGTCAGCCTCCAAGAACCCTTCTTCTTGTCTCTTTCCCACTGCCATAGAAACGGGGAGAACTTTGGGTGGCGGGGAAGAGTGCTGGAGGTTGAAGTTGGTGAATTGCAAAAGTTGGGATGCTTCCTTGATTATGCTTACTTGCTTACTGCGCAGATGTAGCCTCTTATCTCTTGTGATGACCCAAAGGGGTGTGGCACAAAGGCAACACAATCACATAAGTAAGAAAAGTCCCTTTAATACCGCCAACTTTGCCCCCAATGTCGAGTTACCTTCGGCTGGAGAAAAAACTCTCCCCAAAACAGTTTTTAAGGGGAGGAAATTCAGTCCGAAACAGGGTAAACACAAACTGTAACTTAAAGTCCAAACAACCAAACTGAAGTGATTAGTTTGGCAGGGCAGGATAAGGAATTGCAGACTTGAAAGGCCAACAAAACACACACAGTTGGGAAGACGCCAGGAACCCAGATAAGCCTCGACAATAACAGATAACTCACGATTTGCTTCCAACAACTTTGCTGTGCATAGTTTCCCTTTTTAAACAATGCGTTCCCAGTTGTAGCTAATGAAGGGAATCAGGGCCCTTTCCTCCCCCATAAGCCATGCAACTCATGTTGCTTCCTTCTTTGTTCCTCCCTGTGTGCCCTAGGATGGAGAGGGGGTGGACCTGGGTCTTTCTCTGAACTCCCTCTCCCTTGCTCTACCTCTCCCCTGCTCTGCTCAGCCGGACTTTGCCCTTCCCCAGTTTCTTCCACAGCCAACAGAGCCACACTCCCGCTCCCTGTCAGCTGCTCGGCCTCCCCCTCAGAATCAGACTCTGACAGGGGCATGACATTACTCTAGGCCAAGGTCAACCATCTTGGCATACCAGATGTGTGAAACGTCACCTGAAGACGCACCCACATGACATTATACACACCTCAGATTGGATGGCCAGTTTGAACTATTGGGGTTGGGGACATGGGATAACTTTCTATATGTAATTTTCACACGTATTGCCTCAGATCTTGTATTTCTTCTGTTGCTACCACTTCAAATTCGGTAAAAGTCCTTTTCTCTATAACAATGGAGTCTAAGGTTTTCTTTCTTGGATTTTGAATGGAGCTACACCTGAGACTAAGTCCAAGACTTTCTCAGTAAAGATTTTTTTTTTTTACATTTTTCACCTGAGAGTTGGAAAGTCGCTGGTAGAGAATGTAATAAACTTCCAGCCTTCAGGTAGTCCTCAACTTACAGCCACCAATGAACCCCAAAATTGTGACAATCAGAACCGAAAAAGCTTCTTGGATGAGAAGTGAAACATCTTCAAAGAAAAGAAAAGAAAAATAAGAAGAAAGTCCAGTTGCCTTTGAACTATTCAATCAATTTAGTTTATTACAGTCATAGACCATAGACCAGAACAAATAAAAACACTCAGTAAATGTCCAATCAAAAATTCTAGTATAAAATAATACATAATGGGTAGGCTTCCTGTTGGTTGTAAGTTGAGGATTGCTGGATTATGACAGCAAACGAAAGAAAGAGAATAAGAAAAATATAAACTCTCGAAGACTTAATATGTTAAATTGATTCAAGTCAACTTAACTCTTGGTAAAAATCATTTCAGGAAAGGTAGTCCTCAACTTACAACAGTTCATTTAGTGACCATTCAAAGTTACGGCACTGAAAAAAGGGACTCATGACCCTTTTCCACACTTATGACCATTACAGCATCCCTGTGGTCACGTGATCAAAATTCAGATGGACTCCTATTTATGACGTTTGCAGTGTCCCGGGGACATGCGATCCCCTTTTGCGACCTTTCGACAAGCAAAGTCCATGGGGAAGTTGGATTTGCTTCACAACCGTGTGACTAATTTAACAGCTGCGGCGATTCCCTTAACAGGCGTGGCAAGAAAAGTCGTAAAATGGGCATAAAACTCGCTGAACAACTGTCTTGCTTAGCAACATAAATTTTGGGCTCAAATGTGGTCATAGGTCGAGGTCCACCTGTATGGTATCCTAAAGGAATCCACAGTTCAGCGGAATCAGCCATTGGGAGCAGTGGTGCAATTCAATCAGTGTAACAACCGGTGCAGTGAGTGCGGGCTTCGCGCACGCATGCAGTTTTGTTGTCCTCTGGCAGCAGCCTGTGGAGCTGGCAGCAAAGTCGGACAGCGGGGAGGAACATGGGCCAGTCCGGGAGTCTGGGAAGGACTTGGGTGAGGGATCTCTGTCCGACACAGAGATGGAGCCAGGGCCATCTGAGAGTTATGTGCTGATTCCGGAGCCTCCAGAATCTGACATCAGCAAGGCAGAGGAACAGAGGGAGCCTATTCCCAGTGCGTGCATGTGCAGAGCTGCCAGAAGGCAAAAACATTTAAGACAAAAGGGGCAACTTGGGAGTAAGGCTTGGAGATGATTGGCCCCTCCCATAAGACATAAAGGAGGAGCAAAGGGACATGAGCCTTTGCAGGAAGCAACTTTGTTTGTTCTGGTTGGTTTAAAAGCTGAAGCTCTGTGATGACTTTGTGCTCTGTTTGGCCTTGTACAGCTAATTGGCAATTTAGTTGTTGGCAGCATTTCAAGGGAGATAAAGGTGGGTGCTTATCAGCCTTATCTCAAAAGACTGTGGCAGACTTCTGCTGGACTATTCACAAACTGTTTGGGACTCATTACGGGCTGTGAATGCATATAATTCACAGCTGTTGAAATAAAACAAAAAGTTTTTGGCAACAGCGTGTGATTGTTACTGTCTCAGGAACCCTTGGTCAGAACAGTTTTGCACACGCGCCCAGCATTTTAAAAAAGACCATTTTTTAGCTATAATACTTACCTTCTGCTGCAGCCCCAGTGAGTAAAACAGCTGATGTGCAACAAACCGTTCTGCCGCGTGAATCAGCTGTGCTCAGAAACAAGGAAATAAAGCGCAGGAAATGATCGCCAGAACTACCAGTTCACTTAAACCGGTCCAAACCGGCAGAATCTCACCCGATTGTGAGGCTTCACGGAATGCCGTGATTCTTATTCGCTTTCTGAGACTTTTGCTTAAATAGTTGGCGTTGTTGCTTCTGTTTTGGCTCTGGTTTGAAAAATTAAAATGCTCTAGATTTTTTTTTTTTTAAAAAAAACCCCTCTCTTGCAGAAAGAGCCTACCAGAAAGTGGAAGAGTTGCAAGGTCTTCTAGAAATGGCCATCAGCAACTTCAAGCAGCTTGGAGGCATCACTCCTCGGGAAAGGCAGGCCAAACTCGAAGAGAAAAGGTTCGAAAGGTAAGGGTTTTTTTTTTTTCAAGTGGCTGAGAAGTTCATTAGCATTGTATTCTACAATGCTTGCATCCATGAGAACCAATCTGGTGCAGTGGTTAAGGTGCCTGTCTAGGAACTGGTAGATGGTGAGTGAAAGCTGGTTGGTCAAATCACCAGGCAATGGTGAGTTCTAGTCCTGCCCTAGGCATCGAAGCTGGCTATATGACTTTGGGCCAGTCACCAAGAAACTCTAGTTCTACTTTGGATATGAAAGCCAGGTGGCTAATTTGAGGCCAATCACCAGCAGACGGTGAGTTCTAGTTCCACCTTAGACATGAAAGCCAGCTGGCTAATTCAGGGCCAATCACCAGGAGACAGTGAGTTCTAGTTCCACCTTAGACATGAGAGCCAGCTGGCTGATTCGGGGCCAATCACCAGGAGACAGTGAGTTCTAGTTCCACCTTAGACATGAGAGCCAGCTGGCTAATTCGGGGCCAATCACTAGGAGACAGTGAGTTCTAGTTCCACCTTAGACATGAGAGCCAGCTGGCTGATTCGGGGCCAATCACCAGGAGACAGTGAGTTCTAGTTCCACCTTAGACATGAGAGCCAGCTGGCTAATTTGGGGCCAATCACCAGGAGACAGTGAGTTCTAGTTCCACCTTAGACATGAGAGCCAGCTGGCTGATTCGGGGCCAATCACTAGGAGATGGTGAGTTCTAGTCCTGCCCTAGGCATGAAAGCCAGCTGGGTGACTTTGGGTCAATCTCCAGGAGATGGTGAGTTCTAGTTCCACCTTAGGCATGAGAGCCAGCTGGCTAATTTGGGCCAATCACCAGGAAACAGTGAGTTCTAGTCCTCCCCTAGGCATGAAAGCCAGCTGGGTGACTTTGGTCTAGTCACTCTCTTGCAGTCCATCCCACCTCATAGGGCTGCTGTGAGGAAAACACGAGGAAGAAAGTATTAGGTATGTGTTCTCTACCTTGAGTTAGGCATAAAGCAATAAAAGCTGGATAAAAATCTAATACAGCCACGGCTCCATCATCTCAACTCCCTTGAATGTCAAAATCCCCCTTATGGGTGGATTAGAGTTCATAGTTGCAACCATCCTCCATGACCGGAAGACTAAAAAATACTTGGTGAGGTAAGAAATTCACCAGGCTTTAAAATGTGCCAAGACTTTTTTTTTCTGTGTGGTTATCCATAACAGAGTGATTACTCTTCCTTCATAATAGAAATAATTCAGTTCTTAGAAATTGTTGCATTGCTGCCCTCTGCCGGTTGACTAAAACAGAGAACAATCCCACACCCCATTAAACTGAGTTAGACACGAAAGATTCTGTTACTATAGCCTGGATCAATAAAGTAGAATTCTAGACAAATCTGTGGAGTCAGTGTTTTTATTTGGCCTACCTCAAGAGGCTAACATTGGTCTTGAAATCTGGGCTATGTTTCCCCTTCTTTCCTTCTTATGAATTAGAGTAGACACAATCCAAGTTTCTTTCTCTGATTTCAGGGCTTAAAGCGTACTATTTTTTTATCGTTAACCATAGTCTTTACAACATCATCTTCAAAGCTTACATGTCTAAGGCAGGACTAGAACTCACAGTCACCTGGCGCTTGGCCCAGGGTCAT